AGATCTGAATACTACTGGATCACAATGCCGAAGGGGAAGACATTCTCCCAGCAGAGGCGGCAGAGGTAGAAGAAGAGGCAACAGAGTCGGTCGCACTCCAGTTAGGCCAAACCCACCAAGAGGCCTTCATTTGGTTGATGAAGAAACTGATGATGAAGAAGGAGATCCTACTTTTGCAGAACCAAGCCCAAGCTCTCTCCTCAAGCTCCACTGAGTCATCTTCCAAAGACTCACCTCCACTAGCATCAACTCAGGGGGAGACATTTCAGTCCAACATGGCAGCAACTCCATCTCAACATCCTGTTTCCGAAGATGTTGCTGCACATGTTCCTGAAAATGCTGCTGCACCTACTGTCTCAGACAATGCTTCTCAAAATGTTGCTGAGGATGCTGCTCCTTATCAAGATGAGGAAATGCCAGACTTTTCTGGGATGTTCTTTGCTGAGCATGTAGATATCACCACTGCTGATGCCGAGGACTTTGCCACCACAGAAGAATCCTCACTTCCTACACCCTCAGCTCCAAATGAAGATCCTCTGGAAACTCTGGCAGAGGCAGTTGTTCAAGTGGATGCACCACCTTTCCAGGCTGAAGAAGAAGAGAAAAGTGATGATAGCTGGGAAGTTCTCCTTGCCTCATTTCGCAAAAATTTGCCACCTTCAGAGTCAGACAGTGACTCGTCTGAGGAATTCTCTCAGATGCAGGAAAATGCTGCCCCACGTGTTGCATCACCTGAGCCAGCATACATCCCAGATGAACTTGAAGACTCAGAAGAAGAGGAATCTTCTGAGGAAGAAGAGCTGAAATTGGATGGGAATGATCTGTCAACTTCTTTTGAGGTAAACAATGCTTTCAGTACAACCTTTTATTTTGAATCTGATTCAATTTTGAGTCCTCAAATCATGAATTGCCAATTCATTGAGGAGAAGAAAATTTCCAAGGATGAGTTTGATAGACATAGGATTACTATTTCTTGATCAAAGAAAAATCCTTAGTCTAGTTGAGATTTCCTGTCCTTATGATCCCTCTGTTGTGAAGGAATTTTATGCCAATTTACAAACCTCCTTTTAAAAAAAAAAAAAAAAAAATTCTCCAAACTTTGGCAAAGTTTTTGTGCGAAATTCCATTTTCTCCTTTTTCTCCCAAAATTATCATCTCTCATTTACAAACTCCTACTGTGATTGATGAGGATAATTATGGTGATTTTACTGAGGTTTGTAAGACTCTTTCTGGCAATCGTTTAAAATGTTGGCCTGCTCACCTCAGAAAATTCAAAGTTTCTCAACTCTCTGCATTTTATTCTGTCTTGTTCAGACTCACAGTGATGAATTGGATTCCATCCAAAAATGTCTCTGTGGTTACTAAACCTCATGCAGTACTCATGTACAAATTGGGGATGGGATTACAAGTTGATTTTGGCAAAATTTTCTTTAATAATTTAGGTCATCTTGCCCAGAAAATTTCATCCTCCACTCATCTTTCTCATCTACTCCATTTTGTTTTCTCAAAATTTGGGCCAAGATGAATCATAATATCTCCACACTCCACTTGGCATGATACCTGTTTCTCAAAATTCTCTCAAAGCTCCTCATGTCCAAGATCTTCCCTGGAATGGAGATAATTTTCTCTCAACTGAATCAGGTCAAAATAATCTTGGTACTGAAGGTGTTGCTCCTCATGTTGACAACACCCCTGACAATCTTAGTTCTGTTCCTCGAGATCTTTTGTTACAACAGCTTACTCACTCTCTAGCTCAGATTACCTATCATCAGTCCATGGTGGAAATGCTCCGAAAAACTCTTTCTGATCAAAAAGGGGGAGAAAAAGCTAGTCATGAAGTTGAAGCAGGGACTTCTCATCATTTGGATGCCAGAGCCAGAGGCAGAGAACATGGAGTTAATGAAGAAGAAGAAAAGAATGAGGGTGAAGCTGAAGGAGCAGAGGAAAGCAGCAGCAGCTGATACTAAGGACACTTTGGATATTCTGCTCTAAAGTTATTTTTATGAACAATATTTGTTTTTGTTCAGTTTGTTATTTTCCCTCTGATCTTTTATGCTAGGATTGCTCTATTATTGTTAATTGCTATATTGGTTATCATATTCAGCGGGAGTTCAAGCAATGACTCAGGGGGAGTTAAGCTAAAATTTAGTTTTGATCAGAAAGTTAAAAAGGGGGAGTTTGAAACACGTGGATTATTTCCACATTATGTTTTTAAACTTTCTTATTTTTTAAACTAAATTTTAGTTATGGAATAAGTAGTGCTTAGTGGGTTAAGTATAGTGCTTAGTGGGTTAAGTATAGTGCTTAGTGGGCTAAGTAGTGCTTAGTGGATTTAATTGTGGATTTTATTCTAACTTCCTAACTAACCCACTAACCCATTTTCTTGAGTGCTCTTGTGGTTGGTTTTCTTGCAGATCATGGGCTGAGTAGTGGATGCTTGGAATGCTTATAAATACCGAATTCAATACTCAATGAAATTTATCGATTCCACGAAATAAAAAACCGAGAGCTGAAAAGAATACATGAGTGTTTTAGAGTGGTTTTAGAATCGGTCGTTTGTACTCTTCATGAGTATAATCTTTACGTACTCCTTATGAGTACATTCTTTACGTACTTCTCATAAGTACATTCTTTGTAGTCTAGATTGTACAGTATACATGTTTCTAGACTTGGTTGTAAGAATGATCAAGATAGTGATTCATTCATAAGTTCTTTACGTACTCCTCACGAGTACATCTTTGAAATCTAGAATTTTTAATATTTTTCTTTTAGTATCTAGATTTGATTGTAAGAATGATCTTGAAAAAGATTCATTCATAAGGAAGAAGTTTTCGCACCTCTTCTGTTTGTATTCTTGGAATACTGATTTTAATATATTTTTCCGTCCTGTAAAGGGCAAGTTCACAAGTCTTTACTTGTGAACATTTTTAATTCTGAGTATTGTTCTTTTATCTTTATATTTCCGCTGCATGTTTGTTCAAGTGTCATAACACTTAAGATAACACCTCTGTATTAAACGAATTCGGGACCATAAATTCTTTCAACCATCTTCTCGAAAGTGTTCGTGCTTTCAAATCTTAGCATATATGGTCAATTTTTTGCTAGTTTCCCGAGCTTCTTGACATTGAAACATGGGTTAGCAGTAGCCTACATATCATTTTGTCTCTATGGTGTAGTTAAACTCGCTCAGTTAGTGCAATAATTGTGGTCGGCTGATGGCTCTTTCGAGCTTTAGTTTGTGATGTTAGAAATGTGTGGTGTCAAAATCAATGTTCTAAAAAACGGTTATCAGGTCTGAGGCGGTAGCCACCTATATTATTATCAAGAAACGCCATCTTCTTTGCCACAGTATCGTAGGCAGCCACCTATATTATTATCAAGAAAAAAATAAAAAGAAAGTTTTTTTGATCTATAAACGCTCTAAACCATTTATGCACGTGTTATTGTAAATAAATCGAGCATGTTTGTATAGTTCAAAAATGGTACGTTAAGCTTAGGGTTAATATTATTGTTGCCACACTTACCCTAAATGGCAGAATATTCAGCTTTTCGAGACTAGGTGCCATGCTTAGAACCTTCTTTACCATGATCCGGATCATACAAGTCCCGTTTCTCTGTCGGTTGGGCCATGCCAGCTGGATCACGGCCCACGATGTAGAAATTTGCTCCGGCATTTAATCGCACCTTTGCATGCCACTGCACTTCTGTGGGTCCCGCATAAAGCATTGGTGAAGGGAAAATAACACCATTGTAGTTTCAGGATCAAGCATCCCATCTTCAAATACCTTTTTTTGAGAATCAAGAAACTTGAAAAATAGTGCATAAAACAAAGTAATTTCAAGAATCTCCACAGAATCAACTATTTTATCATCCAAATCAGCAAATACGAGAAAAATCGCACTGAAAAGCACGTGCGCTCAAGCATATGTTACGTTTATAGTATTTCTAGAGGAAACTACTCAGTTGGCAGATACTTTTCTTGATTTCATTTTTTTTATTGTATTTCTTTCACAAGAATCTTCTATATTACGAGACAAATTTCTTTTATCGAGCATATATAACAATGCCATATCATTAAAAAAAGAAAGTTGACATTTTCACAATAAAGCAAATTTTTAGTTATTAAAAACCTTGCTGTGTTGTTCCATGCGAACATCGAGCGGCACATCATCGGCCTTAGTGAAACCTCCCAAAGGATGGAGCAAGAGAATCGGATTCTTAAAACCCATATCCAAAAGTCTCTTACGAGTGTCGTTCATGAGCAAAGTGTGGCCGTTGTGCACTGGATTCCTCAGCTGAAAAGCAAACACTGCGTCCGCTTAGCGTTTGTCGAATTCCTCACGAAGTTTTTTAGGAGATAGCCTGTAGTTATCGAGACCATCGTTGTATTTGATAGGGTTTATCACTTCTAACTCCACCTATGAGCCAATTTCCAGCTTGAGCGATGACCTCATCGACGTATGCCAATCCTGGAGCTGTGGTGTCCCACGTTCTCGCAATTTTTTCTTCTTTGTTGTGCTTGAATATTTCGATGCTGCATAAAATAAATGAATAGTTTTAAGTAAGAAGGCGTCTATACGTAAAAAGAAATGATATATTGGGATTCTTGATTACAAGGGATGAGTGTCATTCACAGTGTTTGTACTATTACAAGAACCGAGAGTATGCTCTAGCATTATCGGTCGTTCCAGAATAATAGTATCGGAAACGGGGAATGCTCGAATGTTTGTAAGTAAATGTTTTTTTATAGCACTCGAATTTACCACTAAACAGAAACTTTTCGAATTAATTGAAGCAAAATACATTTTAGTTATTAATGGGGAAGCTTTGAAAAATTAGAGGTTGATAATTGCGGGTATTTTAGAAAAAAACTGAAATGATGTTATAACTCACTATTATCTCAAATTGGCTAAAAAACTTAACTGCATATGATACTATTATCTTTTACAACGCCAATGCATATTCTGCCCTGAGTATTTGGAATATTCTTCGTTCATATGATGGTGCCTCGGCTAGATGATTAATTATCATAAATCAAGAATTGTCTTTAGCAAAAAAAAAAAAAAAAAAAAGAAAAAAGAAAAACGAAGTGCGAATCCATTGAGGCATGAGCGTCAGAAAAAAATGCAGTGTATACCATATTGCTTATCGTGAAGAGGTGATGCCAACATCTACCAATTTTCTAGGCAATGATTTGGGCAATGCAACTTCCAGCTAAAATCAAAATTTTCACATGGCGTGTATCATTGGCGGAACATAGAAGGGGCTTGGGGGCTGTTGACCACCCAAGATTAAAAAAAAATATTTTTGTTAGGTATTTTGGTACTGTATTTTTTGAATATTACTTTTAGCCCCCTAAAGTTTTTGCAAATATGTATCTTAATCCTTAATTTTTTTGTTTCTTCTCCATATATATATATATATATATATATATATATATATATATATATATATATATATATCACATTTTATATAAAAATATAAAATAAAATGGTGAAAACTTGTATAATTTGAAATAAAATTTATGAATATTTACATATTATTGAATTTTTTTTTATCAATAACTCTAAAAATTAATATGAGACGATGCCATGAATCCCCAAAATATTAAGTACGATACATTATTAAAATAATTTGAATTAATTTAAGTTTTTTTATCATGCTTAAAATACGATAAAATTATTATATATATGACATTTTAATTAAAACATATCAATACAAACTTATTTTTGCAATGTCGAACCTAAATTTTTTTTAACTAGCCCCTCTACATTTTCATCCCGGTTCCGCCCCTACCGTGTATGTTTCAACCTGCTCCAAAGTAAGGATACTTTACAAAAAATGAAAAATGTTGTTAGAATATAAGTGTGCAGCGTGTGCGATAGGTGATGAAAATGTATCCCATTGTTTAGCCCTTTGCTCTTTCGCGACAAGTTTGGGCTGTTAGTAATATCTCGATGAAGAAATATAAATGGACGGGAACAAAAGTGATGGAATAGTTTAAATATATGACGAGACCGGCACATGACGTTCAATTCCACAAGTGTATTTTGATTTGCTGGGATCTTTGGTTTTTTCGCAATAAACAATTATATGAATGGTAATGGAAGCTATGGAAGTCGTAACTTTTGTACTGAGCTATTTGGAAATGGTTAATAATCATACAACAGGAATCATTCATGTTGCAAGAGTTAATGTGGTCGCTGATGGAGACCGCTCAAAGCTAGAAGTTGTGAAGTTGAATGTTGATGCAATGGTTAGCGACGCCTTGTGAAGTGTGAGCGGTATCAGAATAATTGCAAGGAGTCATATAGGAGAATGTGTAGATTGGTCATCGAGTTGCCTAAAAGAGAGTCTAGATCTTACATCAGCTGAAGCTAAAGTTGCATATGTGGCTATAATTTTTGCTCGTTAGGAAGGTTGGCGTAACATCATTATTGAAAGCGACTCTAGTACTGTAATATCAACGATAAATGGTGACAAAGAGGATCTATCAATGCATGAGACGATTATTGCAGATATTCTTGCTGTTAGAAGTCGACTCGATTTCTTCATTGCTCATCATATTAATAGGAAAGGAAATCAAGCGACGCATGGAGTGGCTCCGATCTCTTTTAGGGGTCAATGCATTTTGACAACCCGCCCTTTATCGATTCAGAATAATTTATAGTCTAAAACTGAAACTTAATGAATTCCAAAGTCAATTGGCGAATCAGGATTCGGATTCGGATTTGAATTTGGATTTGGATGGGGATGCGGAGCCGGTTTCGGAGATGTGAATGCGGATGCAGAGCCAGATTCAAATGCGGATGCGGATGTGGTGTCAGATTCGGATGCGGATTCAGCGTAGTTTATGTGTGTGCCAACAACTACAGTACTATTTGTTTAAACTCTTATTTGTAGACTCTTATTTAATTTGTGAAACTCTTGTCTTAATTTAATTTACAAGTTGTTGTTTATTGTTATTTTAATTTGTGAAATTGTTGTCTTAATTTAATTTATTAGTTATTGTTTATTGTTGTTAGAATGATATTGCTAAAAAGTTCGATAATAGTAATAAAAATATCTAAAGATAGTTGATAGAAATAATTGAAAAAAAACAAACATCAATGACTCTTTTCGGGGCACAAATTTAATATTTCAAAAAAATTAAAAATATGGAATAAAAATTTAAGAAATGTTGAGTGCCGTAAAAAAAATATAACTTAAAAGGATATAAATATGTGTACAACCAAATTTAATATTTGAACAAATAAATTAGGCACTTCAATATCTTCAACCACCAAAAAACACACAAGTGAAATATAAAATAAATATTGTCTTGTCAAACTAAAATCTTGACAATCAATAGTTAAGTTTTTTGACAAGAGTCTTAAAAAAAAATCCATACCCCAAAATTCATATATATGAGCAAATGTGTTCACAAAGTGATGATGTTCACATTCATACACAACACAACTACACTTTACATAGCTCTCTACTAACTAGGTTCACGACACATGTTAACCCTTGTACATTTGAATGTTATAGACACTACTAAATACTATACACCTGATGTGAAAATAGAACTTTCAATTTAAAACATCCCATAAAATGTGAAAAGTTCATTCAGGAGAAGTGTTGACACTATAAAGAGGAGAAACCAACTGAATGAATACTCCCTCAATGTGAGCATGAAAGGAGACATATTCGACCAATTTTTTTTCATATCCTCCATCACACCAGTCGCTTCCAAAAGAATTTCCGATTTCGATGTACAAATCCCTATTGTCGTACCCAATACCTATGACCCCAACATAGTGTAACCGCCCTACAAAAATGATAAAGAATATGTATACATGAATAATATATTAATTGTAATCATTCTAAAAATAATAATCATGAATTTACTTGTCATGTGTGATTTTCAAAGTATCCAAACACGTAAATTGAACTCGCAATCACATGTTGTTGCATCAAAATTTCCTTAACTTCCTCTGGCAGACTGTTGACGCCGTCTAACAGTCGCACATGCTTTATCCATATCTTATCCCCTTGCAAATTGAAGAATATTACTATAGGGGATTCATTAAGTATTGGTCTGTTACGAACAGTTCGAAAAAAAATTATTTTTCTTAACGAGCTCGAGGAAGACTTGAAAGTCACACAGGGATCGGAGTTTCAACTAGGGGTGGTAAACTATCCGAGCTGACTCGAAAAAATTTCAAACTCGGACTCGAATTTTTCGAGCTCGAGCCAGTTTTCAGTTGTTCATGAGCTCACGAGCCGGCTCGCGAGCCTTATTTTTTATTTATTTTTATTTATTTACTATTTAATATATATATTTTTTAAATAATGTACAATAATATAACATATTATAAAATAAATAAAAATAAAATATAAATATTAAAAAATATATATATAATTTCAATTTATTGTTTATTTTGTAATTTTTTAAAATAATTTTTAACAATAATAAAATAATAATTAAAAAAATATTTATAAAAAAAAACAAAAAACAAAAAAAACAAAACCAAATGAGCTTGAGCTCGAGCCAAAAAAGTAGGAACTCGCGGAGCTCGAGCCTGCCAAAAGAGTCGAGCTCGGCTCTTTCACACCCTTAGTTTCAACGGTTCATGGTGCCTTTGTTTCAGCAGATTTCTTGTAGCTTGAACATTATGCATTTCCAGGTACTTAAAAGATGTTTTTACCCTTTCAAGTGCTTTTGATTTACTAATATGTCCTTGACAATGGACCTTAATATTTCCCGTGAATTGTGCATTTTGATTGATCCGTTAAACTCGAAGAACGTTAAATATTGATTAAGAATGTTGGGGTCGATCTTTTATAGGGTATTTGGGATAAAGAATGTGATTCGGATAATTGTTCGGTTTATCCAATCCTGTGTCGGAATTTAAATAATTAGAGCACTAAATTTTTTTTCCAAAATTAATATTGGTCGTATAAAATAGTGTCGGAATTTAAATAATTAGAGCACTAATTTTTTTTTTTCCAAAATTAATATTGGTCGTATTACTATTTTAATCCATGGTAGTGTTGTCGTTAAGGTGAGTAATAATTTGGGTAAATTACGGCCACCCCCTGAGGTAAGGTCAATTTACGAAAAAACCCTCATGTTTGGGTAATTACAATCACCCTCCTTCAACTATGAATCTTCTTCCACGTCCACTCTTACAGTGTTAAATTTAGTGAAATCTTCTTGATTGTGTGAAATATTCTTCAGTTTGTACCCGTTTTACCCCAATCGAGCTCCAGATGATCATAAAATGTGTCTATTGGCTTGTTAATAACAGATTGTGGTGCATCAGATGTAACACCCCACCTTTTCAAAACCCTAAAACCTGAAATTATTCTTTCTAACTCAAGAATCCCTAGGTCATATTATTACGTGAAATTAATTATGTGAATTACGTGAATCTAATTATGTGACCGAATAATTACATGTCCTATTTAATCGGTAGATTATATGTTCGGAATTCCTTCTTCTTCCACATAATTCCCTACTTGTCTTCATTCTCCATCATAATCCCCTACTTGTCTTCATTCTCCATTTC